ATCCAAAGAAAGGCAAAGAAAAGAAACAGAAAGAAAAGATATTCATGAAACCAAAAAAATCAATAAAGCCACAATTTATTTGAAAATATTAATAAAATTGATAAGCTTTGGCAATCCTTATTTTAAAAAATTGAGACATAATCAAACCAAGAATGAAAAAAGTGGCTGAAATTTTAATCTTACAAACATTCAAGAGACCTTTAAAGGACATCATTAACAATTTTAATTCAGTGAGTTAAAAAATAAACAAGGTGAAGTAGATAAATTCTTTAAAAATTTTAAAAAGTAGGCTAGTGAAGTGACTCAAGTGGTAGAGTGCCTGCCTAGAAAGCATGAGGCCCTGAGTTCAAATGCTAACACCACTTAAAAAAATACAAAAAATAACATAAAAATCTGAAGTCACTTAATTATTAAATAAATTATTAACTAAGTATCTTAACATGAAGAAGACTCCAGGTTCAAAGAAATTCAAGAAATCCTACCAAGTACTTACAGAAGAAATAATGCAATATGCAACAAACTCTTCTTTTGTAAGACAGTTTCACTATGTAGCCTGGGCTGGCCCTGAATTTGAGATCCTACTGCCTGTGTCTCCCAAGTGCTGTTTTATGTAGCAACACCATCTTGGCATGAAAATTTGACAAGCATGTTATAAGCAAGAAGATTGCAGTCCAACAATATTCATGAACATGAAAGCAAAATTCCTAAATAAATGTTATAACCAAACCTAGCATTATATAAAATGTATGATTCACAGTCATGTTGAGTTCAATTCAGGAGTTTAAGGTGAGTTTGACATCTGAGTATTAATCACTATATTTTACCACATTAACAGGATAAAGGAGAAACTATGATTATCTTCATAGTTGCATAAAAACTTAATAAAATTTAACATTGATTCATGATGCTTAAAAAACTATCTTAACAAATTCACAGTTCACGGAAATGTCTATAATCAGATAAAGGCTGTCCTCAAAAGGAGCCTTTGGTGCTTATCTCTGGTGTCAGTCTATTCTTTGCTGAACCTTCTCCTTACCCAACTCTGAAAGGGTGGGAGAATCATTAGATTTGCCTCACCCTACTCCCTTAGATAAATCTCTATGGGAAACCAAGTCTTAATCAAAAGGTTGCTTTGTGAGGATGCAGTCAAGGGGTGAATGGATGAGATGATCTTCGCAGCCAGTATCCTCATCATAACAGCTGATGTGTACATACATGAGAGCACTTGTGTTGTGAGTAAGAAGCAATTCTGGGAGCATTTCCCTTCTGTTAATGTAGGACATTGTTTCTTTGGATGGAGTATAGCATGAATTCTTGGGCTAAGGCCTTCCACAGTCTACTATGGTCACTCTCTGATTCCTGATGGTCATTCAACTTTGTGAATCAGACTGTTTATTCATATGTATATTTTGCATATCATGTGACATTTCCTGGCATAACCTCCTCATTCTCATAGCACCACTTCACCCGTTTGGCAAACTCCTATTTCTTCTATAACCCTACTCAAACATCATCCCTCTGTGAAGCCTTCCCTTTCTGTGTCCCCCACTGGACCTTGGCTGTCTTCTGTAGTCATACCTATCACACTATATTGAAATGTTTAGCTCTGTGTCGTCATTAGATTTGAGTTTCTTAAAAGAAGATTCTGTGTCTTTATAGTATTCCTACTATCTAAACTTAATAAAAGTCCATTAAATGCAGAAATATTCTGTGATTGAATAAGCAAGTGATTGATTGAGTCTGCCTCAGTAGGGCTCTGCCTTCTTATGACTACCATTTGCTCAGCACTCTTGAATTCATCCTAGCTAGTAATGAAAATGTCTCTGGTTGGGTACACTGAATTTACAATCAATAATGAGCTTTAAATCGAATTTATAATTGCTTTTTTAATGCTACCACAGTTACGGGCATTCCAAATGCTGACTTCCCAGATGCATGTCATAACCTTCATTTTTAATTTCATCCTATTTCTGTTAAGTGACACAAAAGGGAAAAAGTATAGTAAGAGTTGAAAATTTTGAGGAATAACTTTAATTAATTAGGTATGTAAAAGAGTCTAAAAAACAGTTCAAAGTAAGATGCAGTCCAGGACCAAGATTAATTTCTAGTTAAGTTCTGTAGTTTAATATTAAAACAAATAAGAGAGAGCAGAGTTGCCAGGAAAATGGAGAAAAGATTCCTTCCCACTGTTCCCAATGCTTTTCACTCAGCGAGTGTATAGAAAATGCTGTTTTTATAGTCCACTGAGGTGAGTAGATGAGACTACCTGCTAATGCAGACTAGTTGTCAGGGCTTTGGCTTCCACCTGGCTGTGCTGGGAGCTAAAGAGACCAAGGTCTCAGCACATCCAAACCCTTTGCAGTAGACTGGTGGGGAAATGCTGAAATTTAACAAAGAGGAGTGGGATGTCTCTGCAGGGACTTAGGATCCTGGTCCTCAGCCAAACCCAACACACCAGGACAATGCAGAGGAAGCAAGAATGGTGTGTGCTCAATTTTGGAGCTAGGATTGTTTAGACCAGTGATTTTCAACTTTGGATGTATATTCAAGTCACCTGAAGCTTTTAAAACATAAAAACAACAATGCTCAGACTCTACCCTCGCACACTTAAATCAGAGCTCTGTGCTGAGGAGCACGGGGTGTCAGCATTTTTATAAAGCTCCTCCTGGTTGTTTCTAAAGTGTTCCTGAGTTAAGCACCACTGATGAAAGCAGTGACTGATGACAAAACTAAGGAGTTAAAAAGAGAGCTAAATTCCATGTGCTTAAAAAAGCCCCAACACCTTAGTACTTTAATGTAATATTTGTGCTCAGTGTTTTTAACTTGGAATTTCAATTTCCAACTTAATGTTTTGATGTGATGGCCAGCATGGCTGCCTACTTGGTCAGGAAGTTACAGTGAAAGTTTTAAACTGAGTTTTGAAGGACAGATAGAATTTAGATATGAAGAAAAGGTGGAGGTGGAGTATGTGGGGTAAGTATTCTAAATGGAGGAACATAAGCGCAGGCAAGGTAGAGGGAAAGGGAAAATCTACAAAAGAATGCTGCAGTTTGGGAGATAGGCCTGATGGCAGGGGAAGGGGCAGCCAAAGCTCGCCCTTTCAGAGGAGAAATGAGAGCAGTCTAAGGAGACAACCTTTCTAAACATCTCTAGCAGTTAAAAATGACCATGCCCAGGTTTCTTTGATCTGTATGTAGTCCAAGGATTGTATGGCAGGCCCATCATAGGTAGCATTTATTGAGCACCAACTACATGCCAGACACTTTTGCTTTGCATTTCACATGTAAGGTCCCTCATTCTCCCTGTTTTACAGGTGACAAGAGAGAAGCACAGCAGGCTGGCAGTTTTTGTCATCTATGTTTTATTCAATGCTGTTCCTTTATAATGACTCAGCCTTTCCATGATATATTTACTGGATAGTGAATTATATACACGTAGTTTCTGAGAAATGCATCATTTGATGATTTCATTGTTGTACGAACCTCACACTGTATATTTACATAAACCAGAATGGTAGAGTTCAATCACTGCATACGACCTTTTTTTTTGGTGGTACTGGGGATTGAACCTAGGGCTTTGCACACTTGCCACGTAAGGAAGCCCTCTACTGTTTGAGCCATACCCTCAGCCAGCAGGTGGTCTCCTAATGCAATTTAGAGATGCAGTAAACACAAGATGTACAAGGCTGCTGTGGTATAAGTTGGCCTATGATTTTACAATAAATGATTTTTGTGGTGCTGGGAATTGAACCCAGGGCCTCTCCTATGCTAGGCAAATGACTTATCACTGAGCCCCGTCTCCAGCCTTTACAGTGCACTTTTTAAAGTAGAGGGCATAGTATAGCAAATATAGAAAACAGCAACATGGTTTATTCTCATTATCAAGTATTATGTGCTGTACATAACTGTATGTGTTATACTTTACACGGCTCACAGGGCAGTAGCTTTATTTCTACCAGCATCATCACAAAACTGTGAGTGCTGCATTGAATGATGACATCATGACAGCTACAGTGACACTAGGTAGCAGGAATTTTCCAGTTGCATTATAATCTCCTGGTACCATGGTGTGTGGTCCATTGTTGACCAATATGTCATTATGTAGCACATGATAGTGGTTAAAACAGAAATTAACCATGTAGGTGTAGGGGGTTGGGTGCTCAGAAACAAAGTTAGATAGGGCACAGAGAGGTAAGGATTTTGAACCTTTTTCCCCTTTGAGTATGAAAAGTTTACAGAGGTTTTTTTAAGTGAGGAGTAGCATGATAAAAATGTTAGCTGGTCTGGAAAGATGGGCAGGAGTGGGTGAGGGTGGGGAAGGAAAGAGGCCAGTGTGATTCCAGCTGACCAGTTAGGAAGCTGATGACAATAATGTAGGAGTGGAGTGGTACAAAACAAGGTTTGCAGGTGACATGGTGAAAAAGAGGACACAGGTGCAAGAGTCATGAGGAGAGTCCTGGAGACTCCAGTGAGCCTCAGTGACTGGTGAGCCATAGAGAGCTCAAGAGGGCAGTCCAGTGGGAGGAAGGTGCTGAAGTGAACTTCAGCTTTTTTTGAATCAGGCAATATTGAGTCATTCTGGAGATGCATTATTATATTGGGTATCTTGACATAACTTTTTAAATTTTTTTGATGGTACTGGGATTTGAACTCAAGGCTTTTACACTTGCTAGATGGGCACTCTATCACTTGAGCCATGCCACCAGTACAAAATTTTGTCATGAAAGCTTTCTTTCTTTCTCCTTTTTTCTTTTGGCAGTATTGGGGCTTGAACTCAGGGCCTCACATTTCCTAGGCAGGCACTCTATCACTTGAGCCACTCTGCCACTCCTCTGACATAACTTTCAAAGTTTATCTTATATACATCCCTATTTTCAATGTAGATGGCAACATTGATCTCTATATTTTCACATTAATCCTTTACTTGCTGAAGTATATTTACTTATTATTCTAATAACTAATATGAGTGTTATTTTATTACTATAGTATATAATTATTGATCATTATCATTTACTATAGGTTATCAGACCAGGATGAAGAGGGCAAGACCAGGCAAGAGTGTATCATCTCTGACCCCTCCTTTACCATGGTGACAGTTCAACGGGAAGACAGTGGAATAACCTGGGAGACCAACTCAAGTAGATCTTCCACTCCTTGGGCCTCAGAAGAAAGTCAGACTTCTGGTGTGTGTAGTCTGGAAGGGTTAACTGTGAATTCTCCTCCAAGAAATGTTTCCTTTATCATAGATGGAGTTAAAAAGTCTCGGAAAAGAACTCGTAAGTCAAAGCATGGCTCACCATCATTGCGTCGGAAAGGCAGCAAAAAGCAAAATTCTTTGGCATCTCAAGATGTTCCAGCAAACAAAAAAGACAATCCATTAATTTCAGACAGCCAGGTACTAGCCACTGAGAAAGAGAAGTCATCTACTGGGATTTATGATAAAACAAGAAAAAACAAGACCACCTCAAATACACCGCCTATTACTGGGGCAATATACAAAGAACATAAGCCATTAGTGTTAAGGCCAGTCTACATAGGAACAGTACAATATAAAATTAAGATGTTTAATTCAGTTAAAGAAGAATTAATTCCTCTACAATTTTATGGAACATTGCCAAAGGGTTATGTAATTAAAGAAATACATTACAGGAAAGGAAAAGATGCATCTATTAGTCTAGAGCCCGATTTGGAAAGTCATGATTCTAACATAGTTTTCAAAACAGGTAGATCAGTAGCCCATAGCAAAGAAGATGATGAAGTGAGAAATCCCGCCCCACTTTGGAGAGGTGCTCTTTCAACAGGATCAAAGTCCCTGACCTCATTGTTCAGTCATGAGGATCAAAAGAAAATTTACGTTGATTCACCCCTCGACACCACATCTACAACCAAGCACACAGTTTCCTCTTATTCAAGTGATGACACAGCAGAAGTACAGCTCAGGCCTCCACAATCAATGCCACAACAGGCAGGTGAGGAAGCAAAAACCCATGAAACAGAGCCTTCCTCCCTGCCACCAGAAACACCTACCTCTGCGTTACTGGAAACAGCAAAGGAAGAGCTTGAGCCTGATTCTCAAGGACTTGAATCTTCAGAGAATGACTCTTGGATCTCCCCAGCTTTGGTTGCTGAGGTAAAGAAGGAAGACATGCATTCTGCTGACCACTCCATGTCACTGGAGGCAGAGGATTCTCTGGAGACCCGGTCAGCAGGTCTGGCACCATCTGTCCCGGAAGAGTTTGAGCCAGTTGAGGAAGAGCTGGAACTGGCTTCACTAGAAAGGGCAGAACCAGCCTCTGAGCCCCTGACCCCTCTCCATCCCAGTGTCCAACGAGAGAAGGAGGAACACATGCCTGAGCCATCCATCTCTCTAGCATTACAAGAACCAGAGAAAGAAGAAATAGAAACGTCCCTGCCAGTGGCTGCTATGGCTGAACCTGAGGATTCTAATTTAGCAGAAGAGATCATAGAACTTGATTACCCAGAAAGTCCGTTGGTTTCTGAGAAGTCCTTGCCAGCACATTTGTTCCCTGAAGTAGAGCATGAGGAAGAGGAGCCTGTTCCACCATTACGGACAATGTCCCCATCTGAACATGTCACTTTGTCTGAGGAAGAAAGAGAGGAAAATGGGTCTGTTTCCACCGATTCTGCTTTTGTATCTGAGTATTCCATTCCACAGGATCTGAACTATGAACTAGAGAAGCAAGAAGTTGAGGCAGTTTCTCCGTCCACTGCTGTATCTGAACTTGCGGCTTTGTTAGATGAAGAGAATGAGGAGTTTGCGCCTTACTCCCTAGCTGCGGTCTCACCACCCGCCACCGAGAGGCCCTCTGAAGGCCAGTCCCCACTGTTCTCAACCGCTACCTCAGAACACGCCTCAGGGGATGAGGCCTCGGAAAGTGGGCATCACACACCAGATTCCACTTCTGCTTCTGAGTACTCAATTCCATCCCATGCAACACAAAAGTCACTGAAGAAAACAATTGACGATAACTCCCCATTGAAATCCCAAGGTGTTTCTGAGTTCATGGTTCTATCAAAAGAGAAGGAGGACACTGAATCATATCCCCCCACTGCAGCCTCTTCCTCTGAACGCTCTCTCTCACCATCCACAATTGAGACGACTTCTGAATGCCAGGCACCTCTGCCTGCTACTGCTACCTTGGAACACATAATCCTATCAGAAGAAGAGGAGCTGGGAAGTGGGCATTCCACACCAGATTCAAAACTGACTTCCAAATCCTCAGTTCCACCAAATGCAGCACAGGAGTCACTGAAGAAAATAATTGATGTACCCCAATTCAAACCAAAAGGCATTTCCAAGTCCTTGATTCTATCAGAAGAAGAGAAGGAGGACACTGGGCCATATTGTCCCACTGCAGCCTCTCCTGAACACTCTCTCTCACCATCCACAACTGAGACGACTTCTGATTACCAAGTACCACTGCCTCCTGCTGCTGTGTTGGAACATGTGGTCCTATCAGAAGAGGAGCTAAGAGGAGGGCATTTCATACCAGATTCAAAACTGACTTCCAAATCCTCAGTTCCACCAAATGCAGCACAGGAGTCACTAAAGAAAATAATTGATGATGTGCCCCAATTCAAACCAAAAGGCATGTCCGAGTCCTTGATTCTATCAGAAGAAGAGAAGGAGGACACTGGATCTCATTCCCCAGATGAGGCCTCTGCACTTGAACATTCTTTCCCACCACACACCCCTGAGATCACTTCTGAATGCCAGGTCCCACCACTTTCAGCCACCCCATCTGAAGAACGTGTGGTACTATCAGAAGAGACAATAGAAACAGAGCGTTATTCACCCTCTTCCACATCAGCTTCTGAATTTTCAATACCGCCATATGCAACACCAGAGCCCCAGAAAGAAGACTTTGTCCTAAGATCCCCTCTACATCTAAAAGCCCCCCCCTCCCCAGTGGATCTATCTGAGCAAGAGCAAGAAGACATTGGGCCTTTTTCTCCAGATTCTGCTTTTGTGTCAGAATTCTCATTCTCACCCTATGCAACTCAGGAAGCAGAGAAAAGGGAACTTGAATGTGACTCTCCAATGTGTTTGACATCACCATCTGAGCACACTATTTTGTCAGATGAAGATACAGAAGAAGCTGAACTCTTTTCTCCAGACTCAGCATCACAAGTTTCAATTCCACCCTATAGAATCCCAGAAAGAGGAAAAAATGACATTGAACTGGATTCACTATTCACTTCGAGGTCTGCTTCGGGATATTCCTACTCTTCAGAAGCAGAGGAGGAAGAGATGGGATCCACAGCCTCTACACCCGTGCCTGAGCATTTCGATGTCCCCCAGGAGCAAAAAGCAGAGCCTTTCCCTTTCATGTCTGCACCTTCAGCCAGTAAAGCAGACCAAGCAGAACTTGAGCCAGATGCTCAAACAATGTCAGCATCTGTATCTGAATATCTCATTTTGGCACATAAGCAGAAAGCTCAATCATCTGAGCCTGAAGGTGTGGGTCCACCATTTTTGACCAGTGGATTGGAGAAGGGAGAAATTAAGACCAGTTCATCAGCAGTCCCAGCACCTGCTTCTTTACCTGCACATTCATCAGTGGCAAAGGAACCTGTTCTGCCCATATCTCAGTTTTCAGTTTCACCTTATTCAGTTCATGCAAAGAAAGAACAGGAACCGGAAGCATCACTCACTCTAAAAGCTGCAGAGGAACAGATGGCTTTGCCAAAAGTCAGAAAAGAAGAAACTGTGCCTGATTCTCAAGAAGCCACTGCACATGTAGCACAGGATCAAAAACTGGAGCCTCAGCCTCCAAATGTTCCAGGGCCTGGGATGAAATATTCAGTCTTGCCTGACTTGGCAGATGAGCCAAAGAAGGTTGTTAAACCCAATTTAGCTCCAACTGTGACTTCTGAACTAGAACAGAGAATGTTGTCAAAGAATGAGCCTGAAGTAGCAAAACCAGATTCACCTCCAAAGGAAACATCTATTTCTGGGCCTGAGGTTTTATCTGGAATGAAGACGGAAGAGAAGTATAATTCCAAAATAACAAGAGAGCTTCATTCAGCTTCATCAGGAATAGAAAAGGAAGTTGAACACGGTCCACCTGCACTGACACTTTCAGCTTTGTCAGAAGAAATAAAGAAAGAAACTGAACCCAACTACTTAACAACCTCAGCACCTGTAATCAAGCTTGATTCAAGCTTAACCAAGTTAGTAAGAGAAGAAATGCTGACAGATTCATCTCTTGACACCCCTGTAGAACATCCAGGCTTAACAAAAGTGGGAGAGGGTGAATTAGGATGTGACTTACCACCAACCATGACATCTATAGATGAGCATTCCCTTCTTGAAGAAGAAAAGGTAGCAATTAAAAGTGCTTCCTCTCTCATTGAAACTTCTTTATCCAAAGGTTCAGCTTGGTCAGAATTGGAGAAAGAAATTAAATTAGATTCTCCTCTAAATACATCTTCTATATCAGAACATTCTATTTTGTCAGAAGCAGAAACTGAAGAATTTAAACCTGGTTTGCTAGTATCCAAATTGTCATCCCAGCATTCAGATGTTTCTGAAAAAACGAGAGTAGAAGACAAACAAGGTCTTTCATTTTCTACAGTCCTTGACTCTAAACGTTCAGTTTCACCACAGAAAAAGAACCTGGTGTCTGCTTCAGAGGTATCAAGGCCTGAATCTCCACTTTTGGTCGACCTAAGTGGTGACGTAAAGAAAGAAGAAACCAAACTTCCCTCATCACAAAATGTGCCGTCTGTACCTGAATATGTAGTTCCAAAAGGCAAAAATGAGGAGACAACCAGTTCATCTCCCAAGTTTGAAAATTTCGTGTCAGAAGATTTAGCCCCGACCCTCGGGGATGATCAGAACAAACAGGCAAGGGAGAACACCTCTTCAGTGCAGGGAGATTTCCTGTCTGGAAAACTTGGCCTTTCTCTGCCAGAGCTCCCTTTGGAGCTTGAGAAGAAAGAGAAGGCACCCCAATTACCAGATTTACCAAGAGTTGGGTCAGTATCCACTGGTGGTTTAGGTAGGCAAAGTGGGCCTGTTAGTACAGAGTCAATAAAATCTCTGATAACTGAAACCAAAGATTCTGTTTTAGAAAAGGGCCTAGCTGGGCTTAGGGGGAGAGGGGAAGGAAATGAAGAAAACAGAGAAGTCCATGTGTCTGCTGCAGAACCATCAGGGTTTGCTTCTTCTGACCTCCTTGTGGAAGAAAAGAAGCCTGAAAAAGCACTTCATTCAGATCAAGCTGTTAAACTTCTTGATGTGAGCAGCTCTTCTGCAGATAAGCCAGACCTGAGTGCCGAACAATTTTTATTTATGAAAGAGGGTTTGGAGAATTTGCCTTTGGAACAATCGAAACCATTTATGACAGCTGAGCCTGCAGATGTTCAAGAAACAAAGACTGAAGAGTCCCTTACTTTTCCAAAGGATGATAAGTGGGTATTAGAAAAGCCAGAAACTTTGGCTGAGCCTCATGAAGAAAGAGTAAGAGGGTCGGTGCAGCTGGGTTCCTTGGGCAGCAAAGTTCTGATGACACAGCAGTTCAAGGCTGCCCCATCAGATGAGGAAATGAGAAAGCAGTTACAGCCACATTCTGCTGAAGAATCTCACTTATCACAAGAGCCAGTATATGCTCCCAGTGCCTCCAGTGGTCATATAGACACCTTATCCACGAAAACTGACTTTTCTGAAGAAATGAAGCTGACCCAAGAACCAAGCTCTCTACTTCCAGCTGAGAGTGGAGAGAGAAACATGGCACAGGGGAGGCAGATCAGTTCTTTCATGGAGACTGAAAGCTTGATATTGGAGAAAGCAAACACAGAATTTTCTAGGCCTTGCAAAGCAGAGAGCCAGGAAGAAATCAAACTACCTCCTGAAAGTACCTTCCAGAAACCAGTGTCTGGCCCATCATTGGAAGAGGTAAAGCCAGAAACTATCCCCTCTCCTGTTAAAGCAGCCCATTTCCTGGCAGAAGTTTCAGAAGCTGCATTTGACAACGAAAAACGAATGCACAGGTGCATTCCTCCTCCACCTGGAGAAAAGCCATCAGAGGAACCAAAAATGGTTCAGTCAAAGGTTGTAGGTGATGCTAGTGAGGGAAGGAAACCAGCTCCTGAAGTGGAAATACCCACAGAAAGAAAACCTGTCTTCTCACTCCAAGAAAATGAAGGACCTCAACCACTGGTAACACTCGAAGTGACACAAAAGAAACTGCCTGAGAAACCAAAGGTGGTTGAACAAGGTCTTCCTGAGGAAAAGGGAAAGAAAGGAATTTCATCTTTCAAATCATGGATGTCTAGCTTATTTTTTGGATCAAGCACTGCAGATAACAAAGTTGCTGAAAAAGAAGATTTAGAAACTCAGCCAAGTCCCTCTGTAGAAAAAGCAGTGACTGTGACAGGGCCTAAAGATACAGTTCCCCCTGATGTTAAAGCAACTGAGAAAGCAGCAGATCTTTCATTACCAGAAACTGCTGAAGAACGCAGAGGAACTTTACTTAAATATGGTGAAGACCTTAAAGAAAATCCCACATTTTTATCGAATGTAGAAGTTTTAAAACAGCCAGAATCCAACTCTGTGGTATGTAGTGAAGATTATAGGAAGAAAGAAATCTCAGACTATTCAGAGGAAATAGGCATAAACTTAGTTACTTCTGTTGATGGTGAGGAAAATCTTGGAATTCAACCTTATTCCCCAAGTGGTGAAAAAGTGGTTATGGAAGAAGCCAAAAATGTTCCTCCTCATGCTACTGAGCGTAAAAGACCCCAGAAGCCAGCAATTGCTCCACCAGATACATGGAATATTTATATTCTTAAGGAAGAGCCAACCAGTAATCAAAAGGATAAATCACTGTCTTCATTTGACGAAGTAGGTAAGATGCCACAACAGCCAAAATCAGCTTCATCTGACTTTGCAAGTAAAAATATCATGAAGGAACCAAAGAAGCCAGAGCCAATAATTCTGCCAGTAGAAGAATCAAAAGGGCATTTAATTGATCTTGGTGAGGACAAACTAAAGAAAGAGATGGTCAAATCTTCTTCTTTGAAATACTCTGAAAAGGAAATAAAACACCCATTGGAGGAGAAAGATAGATCATATGCCTTGGCAGAAAAGAAGGAGCTGGAAGAAAAACAAGGAACTGTGGCCCCCTTAGAGCTCAGAGAAAACAAAGAACTAGAGAAATTGCAAGTAACATGTGAATCTAGACCTATTAAACTGGAAGAATCAAAAACCACTGCTAGCCTGGAGCACATCTATGCAAGTGAGCACCACAAAGAAAGGTCTGAGGAGGAGAGAGAAGAAGAAAAAGAAAAGCAGTCACAGGTACTTTCAAAAGGAAAGAATAAGCAGGAAAGTCAGCCTTCTCCTTTGACCATAGCCAGGTCTGTGCCTGAAAAATCAGCTGTCTTTTTAGGTCACTCTTTGGGTGAAATTCAACCATTCTCATTTACTAAAACACCATCAATTGTTGAAAAATCAGAAAGCATGTTCTCAGAAGCTCACCAAGAAATCAGAGAAAGAAAAGCAGTAGAAACCCAACCACATGCATTAGAAGAAAGTAAAGTTTTGGTGGAGAAAACCAACATATTCCTCCCTGTGGTTCCTCATCGTGATGAAACCGATAATTACTCCTTACCTGAGGAAGGAAATCTGGTGTTAGAAAAGTCAAGCAGGGGTATGTCGGATCTCAAAGACGAAAAGAGGCAGTTCACAGTATCAGAACTTTCTAAAGGTGGTTCAGTTGAAAGTATGAAGCAAGGATCTCTACCTGAAGACTCTGAAAGGACTTTAGATCGTCCTTCTGATGAAACAAAGAACTTAGAAACACCGCCATATTTGCTGTCATCTGTAAAACCACAAACTCTTGTTTTAGGAGTTTCTCCAGAAATTAATACAATGAAGAAACCAGAAATGCCATGGTCAGAATTGACTCCAGATAGGCCAACAATCCACACTATTCAAACATTTAAAGATCACCCATCTGAGATACCTAAACAATCTGTTCTCGTTTCAAAGCACCACTTGGAGACTGTGGAGGATGCCCATGTAAGTGAACCACTTTCTTCAGCAAAAAGCAACTATGCTCAATTTATAATTAATGCAACAATCACTGATGATGAAATGACTTCTACTAAAGAAATGTCCAAGGAACCTGAAGACACATATGCAAAAGACAAAGAGTTTATAGTGACTAGTAAGCCACCTGGGCTTTCAGAAGACCAGAAGAGTGCCTTTAGTATCATTTCTGACGGCTGTGAGATATTGAATATTCATGCTCCTGCCTTTATTCCTTCAGTAGATCAGGAAGAAAGTGAGAAAATGCAAGACAAGTTAGAATATTTGCAGGAGAAAGCCTCATTTAAAACCACATCTCTCCATGATGACGGTGAGGCAGTTGCTTCCCATAAAACATTAAAGAGCAAGTTAGAAGATTCTGAGGGAAAAGTTACATCTCTGAAAGAAAATGAACCAAAGGAAACCGGTAAAACAAAAGAGGAGACATCCACAGATTCAGAGACAGGCAATTTTGTTTTTATTCAAACCACAATCCCCAGTGAAGAGGATTATTTTGAAAAATATACTTTGATTGATTATAACATCTCCCCAGACCCAGAAAAACAGAAAGCTCCATGGAAATTAATCGTGGAGGAGGAACTCTCAGGAGAAGCTGTGGAAGAAGCTTTCCCAGAAAGTTCACAGGAACTAGAACATGAATATGACTTGGTGAAATTAGATGAAAGTTTTTATGGGCTGGAAAAGGACCACAGCAAGTTATCTCATCCAGAGTCACAAAAGTCTTTGGTCATCCAAAACACAGCTGGTGGAACAGCTTCAAGGAGCATAAACAGAGACGTGGACTCCAGGTCACCTGGGACGCTTTTATTTGATGTGGAGGAAGGAGTTTTGTCAAGAATCCAGACGTCTCCTCCCACTGCCAAAGCTGTGAATCCTGAGCTCTTCCAGAAGGAAGAACCCCCTGCACTTGCATTTTTATATAAGGATCTGTATGAAGAGGCAGTTGGAGAGAAAAAGAGAGGAGAGGAAAGAGCTTCTGAAGGTGACAGTGTGAATTCTGAGACATCACTTCCAAGCAGACGTTCTGACATTGATGACGGAACAGGAATGTATTCTGAGAAGTACATCAGAGATGACATTCTCCATGACATATCTGTAACTCAAAAGCACCAAGGCCAAGGTCTGGAAGAAACACCAGTTGTTAAAGATGATTCATACCAACTGGTAGCTGCAAAAGGAGAAATTTGGGGGAAGCCTGGAGCTGTTTGTGGGGAGAATAGTCTAGAAGAACAGAAGCCCGTTTCCAGGGCAGAAGAATCAGCAGGCCGCGCAGAGACATGTGATGATGTGGCGATGCAGAGGCCAGCCGCCATCACTGAGGAAGTCAGAGTGGTCACTCAGAAGATGAGCTATGCAATTCCATTTGAAGACACCCATCGTGTTCTGGGCAGTGTAGATGAGTCAAGCAGTCAGGGTAATGAGGCAGGGAGTGCAAGTCCAGAGGTCAATTTGAATGTCCCGGTACAGGTGTCTTTCCCAGAGGAAGACTTTGCATCTGGTGCAACTTACATTCAAGAAACACCACAAGAAGAACCTACAGTTCTGATCCCACCTCAGCCAAGTGAGGAGAGGAGCCGTAACAGCCCTGTGCAGGATGAATATGAATTTGCTGAATCCCTGAACTACGAAGTGGTCAGTCAAGATGTATTATCTGAAGAACTGTTTTCAGAATGCACACCTGAAGATGCTTTATCTCAAGGAACGGAATCCTTTGTACACATCAGGGAACATGAATTCGTGAGTGAGGTGGAACAAGGTATGTCTGCTGAACAGAAAGAGTTGGGCAGAGAGAGAACAGAACAAGACCAATTGGCACCTGAACTTGTAACTGAGAGGGCACAAAAAGAGCAGAAAAAGTCCCAGGTTGACACATATTGCTACACCTGCAAAAGCCCAATTTCTGCGATGGACAAAGTATCTGACACCCACAAAGACCATGAGGTTTCAACCCTTGACACAGCTATAAGTGCTGTTAAGGTAAATCAGTTTTAAAGCATACAAATGATAATATAATACATTAGGTTTGTTTTCACATTTTCTCGATTTAAAAATGATTGATTTTTGATACACCTTTAAATAAAATAGTCTGAAAGATGTCTAAGAATTCTTCTCTGAGAATTTAGTGAAGATTGATTTGAAAAATATTTCTTGGGTGTGTACTTGTGCCAGGCATTTTCCTAGGCCTTGGGGTACCAAGAAATAACACAGGTCATTCTCTTTGAGGAGATCGTCATCTTATACCAGTGACCTTAACATGATCAAAAATGCCAACCGATTTTACACTTAAAAAATATACCTTGGAGACTGGAGGTGTGGCTCAAGTGGTAGAACACCTGCTTTGCAAGCATGAAGCCCTGAGTTCAAACCCCAGTTCCACCCAATAATAATTATAAATACCTCTGAGCCAGGCACAGGTGGCTCATACCTGTAATCCTAGCTACTCAGGAGGCTAAAATCAGGACAACAGTTGGAAGCCAGCCCAGGGAAATCATGAAAAAGGACTGGTGGAGTGGCTCAAGGTATAAGCCCTGAGTTCAAACCCCAGTACTGCAAAAAAAAAAAAAAAATCTATCTATCTATATCTATATATAGATAGATAGATATAGATAGATAGATATCTATCTATATCTGAGTATAAGTCATAAGTTATCATATACCATATTGTCTTTTAAAAATATGCTTATATTACATTGAGCAGTTTTATTGTAAGTTTTATGAAAGTACAGTGCCTTCTTACTGAAGATAGTAAGGTTTTAAGTTCTGGTTTTCTCCCTCTTTCCTTTTAGCTTATACAATTTATGTTAGAGGTGGAAGTTCTTTGCATTCTCTCTTTTTATTTATTTATTTATTTATTATTGTTTTATTATTCATATGTGCATACAAGGCTTGGGTCATTTCTCCCCCCTGCCACCACCCCCTCCCTTACCACCCACTCCAACCCCTCCCTTTCCCCCCAACCCCCTCAATACCCGGCAGAAACTATTTTGCCCTTATCTCTAATTTTGTTATAGAGAGAGTATAAGCCATAATAGGAAGGAACAAGGGTTTTTGCTGGTTGAGATAAGGATAGCTATACAGGGCATTGACTCACATTGATTTCCTGTGCGTGTGTGTTACCTCCTAGGTTAATTCTTTTTGATCTAACCTTTTCTCTAGTACCTGTTCCCCTTTTCCTATTGGCCTCAGTTGCTTTTAAGGTATCTGCTTTAGTTCTTTGCATTCTCTCTGGCTATGTCTACAGGACCCTAATGTTCCAGTTAAAAAGTCACAACACACAGCCTAATGTATGTGATTTTAAATACCCTACTTCCTCAGAGAAGCTACTAGAAATCACACTGAGTCTTTGAGACTCCCGTGTACCTTCCAACTGCCCTCTAACTGCTCTTCTTGCTCTTCCCTCTTCATTCCCCATACAATAGCCAGAGTGATCTTAAAATTAGCAGATAACAAAAATCGAGCACTTCCTCTATGCCAGGCCCGTATAAAGTTCTTTATATACAGGATGCTTTTAAAACTTCATGACACACCCATCATTCTCATCAATTTGCAGATAATGAAATGGGCTCAGTTTGTTTAAGTGACTTGCCAAGGTCATGGAGGCAGAGCTGGGACTGGTACCCAGGTTGGTCTGATGCCAGAGCTCATGCTTTTGACTGTCTATCAGTGCTTTGCTAATGGCACTGAGTGATTCTCAAAATGATCATTCAATTAGGTCACTGTTCAATAATTGTCAGACTTGTTTTGATTAAATAGAGTTGCATATTAAAATCCTGGCTTTTTTCCCCTACTAAATAAATCCTTCTCAATGCCTCTGATACTGGTTCTATTTCTCCAGGATAAAATTCTTTTGACACTTTACCTGTTAAAGTTTGGGATAGGGGGTGGGACAACTTTTGTGAAATCTCAAACCTCAGATGCATTAGCGCCAGTGGCGTGCAACCAATTCCATGATGACCTTTGCTTTGTTAACTTAATTATCAAGTACTGGAGACGGTCGGCAGCTAGAAGAACTGGGTATTTCAGCCTTCGTAATTATGTTTTGTTTATCACTCAGCTTTAGAAAATAAAAAATAATTGTCTAAATATTGTCAATGAAGAAACTGACAATAGGGACAGTAGGGAGATATGGTGTTGCCTACCTTAAAATATTTTAAAGTATTTTTTTTCTTCTTGCTCTTCTCTAAATGGATGAGAAGAAGAAAGTGGAAACTAGTTGACTAAAGCCAGGGAGATTTGCTTTGTTACATTGTTATGGCAACCATGAGGATTAAAAGTTGGTTGGCAACTTTTTAAAAAATAAAAATCGAAAAAAGTTGTAACTTGAGAACTCTTTAGCATCTTATGAATGGATCTGTGCTTCCTCAGGGACTGCGTGCTGCATGCATAAGTTACCCAAGTTCTCAGCCCGTCCCCATCATGGTGTTCTGGATTTTGTCCACTATTTATTTTCATCCTCAATCACTCCATTTCTTCTTTCTTGGTGTTTATCAACCTACTGTTCTGTGTCAGGAATTGTGCTCATCACTGAGCTTGAGAAGGGGGGGGAGAAAAAAAGAAGAAGATGGACTTGTAGATCCCCTAAACTAGTAGAGGGTTGTGGGGTACCATGTGCTGAGAAACTAACATTTTGGGAGTAAAATAGTAGGATGGAAGGGGGAAGATGTCGCTAAAAGTTGAAGCCTGTCTGAGTCTCAAATGAGACAGAGCTGTTCTTGGCAGGGAGAACAGTCTAGTGATAGACGGCACCATAGGAAAAGGCATACATGGGAACCAGGGTGTAAGGAAGATGCAGCTTGTGTGGCAGTAACCTAGGGGCCCTGGAGAGGGTCTGGAGGTAGGAGCTGTGGAGGCAAGGAGAGGCCAGGTCCTGAAGAGGCTTCATCATGGTAGCACAGTCATCATTTTCTGGACAGTGATTCAGTTGAAGCTCTCTTATTCTGTTTTGTTATTAAGTTTAGCAGAGTAGACTACTGCTAGGTTTATAACTATTTCTGGTTAGTTGACCCCTGATGAGATTTTTAACCCTTTGAAGGTCATTAGAATTTTTGGGTCTCAATTAGTAGACAGCTTCTATCATTTGGTATGCTAGGCTTTTGGATGGTGGCACTCTGAGCACCTTTTCATGCCTTTCTAGCACACCTGAGGCCAGGTGTACAAATGTGAAAAAGCCACTCAGGTATAACAGACCAGTTTAACAAAAAGGCTGCTGTCTCAGACTGTATAAAAATCAAGGCCAGAGAAAGCATTCAGGTCCACAGTTCATTAAAACAAGTACACCTTGGGCTCACCATCTTACCAAGAAGTCCCTTCTTTTGCATGAGAAGATAAACTGTCTTTTTATAGTTGCTTTTGGCCCTCACAAACCTCTTGTTTATCATACAGAATTATCTATAATCAATCTAGATGAAGCAGCAAAAATCATTCAAAGATTGATTCCTTAGTGAATATACTATAGTAAATCTCTACCTAAGATATTACATTTATAAGGAAACTAAAGCCCACTGCCAAAAGTTCTTTTCCCAAATATTATACACTAAAAATATTTCAATTCTTTTCTTCAGGTTCAATTAGCAGAATTTCTTGAAAATTTACAAGAAAAGTCCTTGAGGATTGAATCTTTTGTCAGTGAGATAGAATCCTTTTTTAATACCATTGAGGTAAGTTAAGACCAGCCCTCTCACTCTCTGCTAGTTTGTTCACAGTATCACCAGTAAATGATCACAAGTTAAAAGGATCTGAATTTGTGCGTGCGTGTGTGTGTGTGTGTGTGTGTATGTGTGTGATTTGCTATTGTTGTTTTTGTTTATTCGAGGGAAGGTTCTTAGAGTCTTCCTTATGTGTTTGTTCCATGAGGCTACTTCCTGCCTAAACGTAAAGGAATTTTCCTTAAGCACACATTTAATGGAGACTTACCAAAATAGAGATTTGGCCAATTTAATCCTCACTGTAAATGTGAGTTACGTATTATTATTGTTTCCACTTTATAGATAAGAATCTGATACTTAGAATTAAGTACATTGCTCTGCTTTCTTACCTCTCATTGGGTTAGCCCTGCAGAAATACTCTAAGTTACTCCAAAATGCCCCTTGCCCAGGGCCAGTGGGTGCCTCTCATGGTACCATTGTATTTGATGAGGTCACATTTTTTGTGTGCTGGCCCCACCTCTTCCACAGTGAAGGGAGTGGATAGAAATGCTCCATTCTTGTCCAGAGATGGCCTATGCACCTTATCTGTCAATCAGGAGTAGCAGAGAGCCCCAGGCTGCTGCATGATCCCCTTAGTCCTGCTCCTGTTGTAAAACAGGGGGCACCCACAAATTTTTTTTGTCTCCTCTATCAAGTATCCCTTGTAGACAGTAAATTACATGATCACTGTCTCACTACCCTGCTAGGGAGGATAGGCAGTCAGCTGAGTGTGTCCCACTGTATTTCTCCTACTGTGGCACAAGCTGCCCCACCAGGAGAACATTTTAGTGGAGAGCTGAAAATGGAAGTAACTCTTTTCATCACCTGATAGCCAGGGATCCTTGCTCTCTGTGTTTATTTTTTAGTGAAGCTGTGGATGGATTCCAGGGCCTTGTACATGCTAGACAAGCAGTGTACTGCTCAGCCATATCCACAGCCCCCTAAAACTCTCTTAACGATACTTTTAAGATGAATTCTATTGCAAAGCTCATTATGGAAAGAAGGTTGGTAGGCCAGAGTTTTAGACCATGCATGTAATGTCTGATTCTCTTATCAGAATGTCAGTGGTCTGTTCTTTCAAAGGGAAAAAGTGGGGAGAGTCACGTACTTCTTGTTTTATTCTGAAGTTTTTTTTTTCCCACCCCTCTAGGAAAACTGTAGCAAAAATGAGAAAAGACTAGAAGAACAGAATGAAGAAATGATGAAGAAGGTTTTGGCACAGTACGATGAGAAAGCCCAAAGCTTTGAGGAAGTGAAGAAAAAGAAGATGGAGTTCCTGCACGACCAGATGGTCCACTTTCTACAGAGCATGGACGCTGCCAAGGACACTCTGGAGACCATCGTGAGAGAAGCAGAAGAACTTGATGAGACTGTCTTCCTGGCTGTAAGTGCCATGCCAAGGGGAATGGGCCCCAACACATGGTGCCCACTCTGGCACAAGTCTATTTTTGTATTTTTTAACTGTTCACCCATGTTTATTGCAGCACTATTTTTATTAGCACACATTAATGGTGTAAGGGGCTTCGTTGTGTTAATGCCACAGACATGTCCAGCATACTTTGAACAAGTTCACTCCCTCTAGTTATATTCCCTGCTTCCCCTTTTTGAAATGGTGTTTATATATTCATAAAAGTAGCACACTTCCATCTTCCCCCCCCACTCTCTCCTTTCATCCTCCTCCCTCCCGCAGATCACAAGTATATTTTTAAATCCTTATCTTTCAATATTTAATATTGAAATATCTTTATAGACTGGGCATGGTGGCACATATCCCTAGTTCCAACACTAGTTCCAACCCTTGGGAGGCTGAGGCAGGAGAATGGTGAAGTCAAGGCCAGTCTGTGCTGTATAGCAAGATCTTGTCACAAAACACACAAAGAAACCAAAAGATCATTTATATCTCAGTTTTCAGTTTATACAATTCTGGCATTTCAAAGTTATTTGGGCATGCATGACATCTCTAGAAAAGGCACCGCAAATCCTAAAGCCCTGATGTCCAGATCCAGGCCTTAGCATCATCACGGTGTCAAACTGGATTGGCCACTTTTTAAGAGAGCAGGAAAGCAGCCTCGCAACCTTATTCATGCTGTACTTTCCCTCCCTGGGCCAGCCCTGTCTCCTGGTACCTGGCATCCTCCTGCTGGCCCCAGGGCCTGTCCACTCCACTCTCTAATCTGAGGTGGCCTCTCATAAGGACGATTGCCTCTGATCCTCACCAAGAATGACATTTTGGCACACTTATAGATGCAAGAAATATGTTGGTGTTTTTTATAAGGAGCTTCCTGTGAACAGGATTCCTTAATTTAAGCAAGCAACTTGTATACAGGGAGATTCCCTTGGATGCTCCTCAGTTTGTACCTCAGAGACAGCTCTCTGTTCCTCCTAATTCTGTAGAACGTTCAGTAAAATGTTGGTTCTCTATGGAGCCAGGGTTTATCAGGAGTAATGGAGAGGGCATTCCCAAGCCTAGTTGCCAAACAGGGGAAAGGACCATCAATGACGAGTGGGGACCACCTTTTCAAAAGTCCCCATCCTCCTAGCTGTCTACTGAAGTTTGGAGGTAGTGTGAGGCAAAATGGGTGACATTAGGCTTATGATTTGCCTCTGGGAGCACCTCTAGCCAGGGCAAATTTGGGTCAAGTGGACCTGGCCATCCTCAAAGGAGAATTAAAATAATTAGGTTGCTTTATATTTTAACCAAGGGAAATGTTTAATATTTTTACATTAAGTACCTTTTATGAAGTATAACATTAATAAAGTATTTTTTGTTCCCTGGAAGTGTTATCTTTGATAAGGATATTTTCTTCTCTCTAGAGAACAAGTTGGGGAAAATACAGAAAAGCACAGAGAACATATCACTCAGAGATAACTACTGATTACATTTTTGATATTTTGATTCAACAGATTTAAGTCATTTTTCTTGCTTCTGAGAATTATATTCTCAAAGCTAAGCTTTGTTAACAGAGAGAAAAGAGTACAAGTTATCCATTGGCAGACTTGCTGATCAAGGAGAGCAGAGGCCGACTACAGACTACAGCACCTCCATCCTCATCCACCCCCACCCCATCCCCAGCACTAATTTCTCTGATGTCCAGGCTGAAGCCCTAATGAGAAATAGCCTCAGAGAAGCTGAGGCTTCCAATTTGTGTGATCTTAATGCTCTTGGTTGGTTTTCTTTTTGTTGTTAATGAGTTTCTCTTTCTCTTTCTGTCTTCCTTCCCCTCCCATAAGTCGTTTGAGGAAATCAATGAAAGGTATATAAAACATAGTGCAATGTAGTTGTGACTGAGAACAGCATGACTGGATGCTTTTTTAATATTTTCATGCTTTATAGAAAATGAGCTGCCAATTAAAAATTACATTTAGCAAACTGCTGGGTTTTCACTTTTTGGATATAGTTCTTCTAAAAGCTAAATGACAGCTTTGAAAGAAAATTGCATGTGCTTTAGTTAAATAACAATTATCATAATGTAGAGTTTTAACTGCTTTCTTAAGATGTCGTCTGTATTTTCAGCCCAATCTAGACCATCTTTGCTGTCACTGTATACAAAAAATTTTGTAGCTAGTTAGACTTATTGGTTAAATATGAGTATTTGAAGGAATCATTCATATCTGCCTTGAGTAATTTTATGACTTATGTAATCTTAATGGCATGTTCTCTACTTTTCTCTTCAAAGGATAGTCATGCATTTATCTTCTCTTTCTGCTCAGCCAACCTCAATGAATCTTACTCTTTGATTTTGTTTTGCTTTGTTGATGTTTTTAATACCGAGTCTAAGAGATTTTTCATTCTGTTGAAAAGCAAAACACTCAACAAGAAATTAGAAAATGTCTATAGAAACCTATTCTATCAGATTTATGCTTATCTTTAGAAGCATTCAAATATTGAGATTCTCAAACTAATCAGATGGATCCCTCTTCTCTTTTTCCCCATAGCAAGAACCCATTGCAAGGTCTTCCCTACTGCTTAAATCTAATGTTTGTTGGGTTTTTTTTTAAGTCATTTTAATTCAATTTAAAATATAAATTTCTAAGTTATAAATATTATCTTCAGTTAATTTCCATACCAGTTCAAATTGTGAAACAGCATAGAGGTATAGCAATGATTGTATTTGTGATGCATGAAGATATAGAAAAAAATGGATTTGGATTGGAAATCTGATCTTTTTTAGATAATTGAAACCACACAGATGAATCCTATTTGCCTATGAAAATTCTATTCAACAGAATATTGTCAGTAAGTTTATAAAATAATTTGTATATTACTGCTAGCATTAATTGGCAATGGTTTTATAGCAGTGACTCTGCTATGAATAGAATTACCTGGGAAGCTTTAGAAAAATGCTGCTGCCTGAGCCTCCTGTCCTGAGAATCTAGCGTAATTGGTCAGAATTGTCACCTGGGCATTTAAAAAACTTCCTGGGTGGTTCTAATACTCCACCAGAATTGTGCACCTCTGGTTTATGATAGTCTGTCTTTGGGCTCAGTGGTCACCTAAACTGACTGTGCTTGAATCACCTGTGTAATTTGTGTAACCACAGTCCTGGGGTCCCACACCAGGTCCAATACATGGAATTTCTGGGCAGGACTAGGCATCTGCACATTAACGTTCCCATGTGTGAGTTCTGAGATACACTGGTCAGCTCCGTAAACTCATACTCTGGCCTTGGCCTTGCTCTCAGTTTCCTTTATTTAAAAAAATTTATATACATATATGTATATATATACATTGTATATATATATATGTATATAAATATCTATGCACACATTTCCTCCTAAATATTATTGATCTTTTAAAATTAAAAAATGCGTGGATTTATACTGCCATTCCATATACACTGGACAGTACATGCATGATTGATTATTCATTCATGGAAGATCATGATGGATAAGAAAACTGGCAGATGAGAATTTCTGAGTGCTTTTATCTTAGAAAATGCTATCGAATGTTTTTACTTTTCTAAGCATTAGAATATTGCTAATGTGAACTGACAACCACTTAATACTAAACAGCGTATCTTTGGTTTTGTGCTTAACTTGTTAATTTATGTGTCATTTTAATTAATTTCTATCTCACTGTCCAATTGACAGTGAATTAATCTTTACTAAAGTTGCATGTCACCTAAGGAGAATACACTTTGGATAACTATTATTTTTCTGAAGGGAAAAAAAGACAACAAAATCCTGGGATTTGGTGAATAAATATGAGTAATTAAAGAAAGACCTGTTAACATGTGTATATGCACACACACCACATACAAGGCTTTCATGTCCTCCAGACAACTTTCTCCAAATCTGTGTATTGGTGTTCTCTTTTAAAAGAAGTGCTAAGAATCTAGTCCTTTTACCTTGCTGTTTTTTCTTCTTGGCTTCATATTGCCTCTGTAAAGGCAGTGCTTGTATATTAAATTATTTTCCTCAACACTAAAAATGCTTAAATTAGGGAATGCTGTCAAGCATATTTAAACTCAACATTTGCATATCTTGAAAAACACATTTGCTTTGGAAATGCTGTTCTGTTAAGGAGATGCATTTTTTTCTTCTGTTTTTGCTCTTTTGTATTATAATATTGAAAAAGAGAGTCACAGCCCGTTGTAGGACCTACTTATGAGACGATGTCTCCTTGCCCTTTCACAGGCTGATATTAAAACCCAGCAGGCCAGGGCACAGTGGAGAACTCACTTGGCCATGTGCTGATGTCTCTCCTGTGCCCACGCAGTCCTCCATCTGCAGTACTCCGACTCCCTTTGCTGCCTAGAAATGCCTACTAACTTTTTAAGACCCAACCAAAATGACATCTCCTCTTTGAAGCCCCATTGAAAGCATCTCCCCTAAATCAAATGGTAGTGAATTTTATTGTGTCTAAGCATAGAAAATGCTCTAAATATCTCATGATCTTTTCCCTTTACACTGACCTCAAATCCACCATCTCTGAGATCTTGATATCTTTACCTAAATGAAATTATTTGCCTCTTATTAATTCAAAAATATATTTATGAAATGCCTGCTATGTGCCAACTAATGTGTTACACTACATCACTGAACAAAATGGTCCTTTTCTGCATCAAATATATTTTGGTGAAGTTGGCAGATAAAAAACAAATAGGTCATGTTAAGTCTGAGGAAATAAAATACGGTGCAATAAGGGCTAGAGGGGGCAGGCAATGCCATATTAACAGAGATCTAAATTAAGTGAAGAAAGGACCCATACCAGGATCCAGAAGAAAGTTCCAACAGCAAGTGCAAAAGCCTTGAGGTGGGTCTGTTGCTGGAAAAACTAAAAAGTCCAGGAAATGAAGCCAGTGCAGTACCTCAAAGTTGACTGAATTGCTGCAACAGAGTTCCAGGTCTGTGGGAGAGAGGGACACAGAAGGGAACTCTGACACCCCTCACACCTCAAATAGTAAATTCTTTTGCAAACTTTCCTTTCCTTCTTTCCCCTTCAGAGTTAACTTGCTTTTTTTCTTTCTGATTATTTATTTTTGAATCTGTATTTTACCTGGAACCAAATGCTAAGAGTTACTTGGCATTCCTCCTAAGAGGGGCTTGAATCTGTAGACGTTAGTAATTTATAAATGGTGGCTTATTTGGTCTTCTAAGAATGGTAGGTCTTGCCTTCTTTCACTGCAGTATCCCTTGTTCCTAGTACAGTACTTGGCACATAGTAGTGAACACTATTTCTTGAATGACTAACGGACTAGAAGCTTAGTATTGAGGTTTGAGCATAGCAAGGATATCCCACAGCATTTAACTTTCCAGACAGGCTCAGAATGTTGATATCCTTTAGGAAATAAAGAAAACAGTCATTGAAATAAAGTAATTTTGGGGACTGACTTACTAGAAACATGTTTAAAACAATATAATTTGGTAGACTTTTCACATTTGAAGATAACAGGAATTACTTTTGACATTACCAGTTGCCTGAGAACCCTAAAAATGAGCAGATTTTAGGCGTACATTTTCAGATTCCAGAACTGTCTAAATCATTTTGGATACAGTGAGGACTCTGTCTCGTGAAAGCCACTGCTACCAACACCAGCTTCCTGTTGAACAATGGTTTGTGTGTTCGTTCTGTATGTTCATATATGCCTGACTCACGTGGGGTTCTGCTCCCCCATAGGCTGCTTTCTGCCATGGCGAGCACAGCTTCTTTGGAGAATATGCCTGCTGCATTCTCACTTTTTGAACATTACGATGACAGCTCAGAGAGCAGTGACCAGATGTTGAAACAAGTGGCTGGTAAGCATTTTAATGTATTAATCACCTTGATGAAATTTGGCAGCTCTTGCTTATTTGTTTTGAAAAGTTTCTGTAACTGGAAAAAGAAGAGTATTGGTTGCAAAATTTTAAAGCTAGACTCTGAAATGAAGCATGTGCCAGCTTCCCATCCCAGTGATAAACTGCAATTCTGCTTGAAGTTTACAACTGCGCCAGGGTCACAGGAGGTGGGAGGGAGGTGCACCAGAACCAAAGGTCTCCTTTAAAAAATTTTTTTTTTTTTTTTGGCGGGCGCCAGTGGCTCATGCCTGTAATCCTAGCTACTCAGGAGGCAGAGGTCAGGAAGATCGCAGTTCAAAGCCAGCCCAGGCAAATAGTTTGCGAGACCCTATCTTGAAAAAACCCTTCACAAAAAAGGGCTGGTGGAGTGGCTCAAGGTAATAGGCCCTGAGTTCAAACCCCAGTACCACAAAAAATTTTTTTCATGTAAAAATAGGATTTCTCTTCCTTGTATATGGGAATTTATTTACTTCCTACCATTAGCTAGCTATATAAGCAAAAAGAAATCAAAGATTTTCACATGTGTTGAACCAAGTTTTCTTTATGAGTGGTTTTCCCTTTTTTTCCTCCCCCCAAACCAAACAGATTAGCTTACAGAACTAACAGCTCAGCATCATGGTCTATAGCCAGGAGCCTCCCACTCAGCTGTCAGAGCATCCTGTCGGCTCTTCAAAATATTTTTTAATGTACAATTTTAACAAACAAGACAATGAAACTTATTTAGATTTCTCAAAGTGCCATGTTTCAAGTTACTGAGTTTTACTTACTGTACGATGTGCTCAGATAGACTCCTTACAAAGATGCATGCTCTTCCAAAATTACCTAAAGTTGTTTAAAACTTTCATTATTGTAGCAAGAGTTTTACTTTAGTAACTAGTAAAAGGCTACTGTGTCTTTAAAATGACAACCCATTGGCTCAAAACAAAACACAAAAAATCCCAAGTCCTTACAACCTTTATAAACCAAAACATCCGGTCATTTTCTTTAGAAATGTCTCAGAACAAGAGTTTTTTTTTTGGTTTTTGGTTTTTTTAAAGTTTTTCAGCATTGGGGATTAAACTCGGCCCTCTGCAGGTTAGGAAAGTGCTCTACCACTTAAGCCATTTTCCCAGCCCTTTTTGCTTGGGTTATTTTTTAATTTTTAAATTTAATTTTTGACTTATGACATATTAATAATATGAGATGATTTCATTGTGACATGTCCACACATGTGGACAGTGTACCTTGAACAATTTCCCCTCTCCGTGAATTCCCATTCCCCTCTCCCTCTTCCTGCTCTTTCAAAGAGTGCTTGGCGGGGTACGTCAAGGTGTCTTCATGTGTATATATACAGCATACTTCATCCTCTTCACCCTCCATACCCTGTCCTTTCCCTGCCCTCATGCTGATTCCCCTACCTACAGTCCCCCGTATACTTTCATGTCCCGATGTTCTGTTTTATCATCATCGTCATCGTCATTTTAGGTCTAGATTATATGAATGAGTGAGAACATGTGATATTTGGCCTTTTGAGCTTGGCTGATCTCATTAAGCATGATGGTCTCCAGTTCCATCCATTTTCCTGCAAATGACATAATTTCATTTTTCTTTGTGGTTGATTAATTTTCCATGTTATATATATATATGTGTTTGTGTGTATATACATAAAAATATATGTAAATATAATATATTTAATAAATATAATATCAACATAAATATTTATATTTTTATATAAATATATCATATATTATATATATATTTATACACACATATACCATGTTTTCTTTATCCATTCATTAGTGATGGGCACCTTGGCTGATTCCATTGTTTGGCTATTGTGAAGAGAACTGCAGTAAACATGGGTGTGCAAGAATCTCTCTTGTTAATTGATTTTCACTTCTTTGGATATATGCCCAAGAATGGTATAGCGGGGTCATAAGGTGGGTCTGGTTTTAGTTTTTTTGAGGAACCTCCATACTGATTTCCATAGTGGCTGCACTGTTTACATTTCCTCCAACAGTGTATGAGGGCTCCTTCCACCACCAGCATCCTTTCAGCATTTGTTTATTTTCCTGATGATAGTAGTCATTCTGACTGGGTGAGGTAGACTCTTAGTGTCATTTTGATTTGCATTTCCTTTATGGTTAAGGATGTCGAACGTTGCCTCACGTATTTATTAGTCATTAGTATTTCTTCTTCTGAGAACTGTCTTCTCAATTAATTTGTCCGCTTATTAATTGGATTATTTGTTCATGTGTGGTTTAGCTTTTTGAGCTCTTTGTATATTCTGGATATTATTCCTTATCTATTGAATAGCTGGTAAAGATTTTCTCCCATTCTGTGGCTTGTCTCTTGATTCTGATAACTGTTTCTTTTGATGTGCTGCTTTGGTTATTATTTTTGAGATAGAGTCTAACTTTATTCCCAGGCCAGCCTGGACTGAAATTCTCCTATTTATGCTTTCCTGCACAGCTGGGATGGTAGGTGTGTACCACTACACTCAGCTTTTTATGTTGAAATGGGATCTTGTAAACTTTTTTGCCTAGGCTGGCCTGGAACTACGATCTTCCCTATCTCTGCCTCCAGAGTAGCTTGGATCACAGGCTTGAGCCCTCACACCTGGCCTGTATTTTGTTTTTAAGACAGGGTGTTGCTAACTTTGCCCAGGCTGGCCTCAAACTCTCCATCTTCCTGCCTCTGCCTCCCAAGTAGCTGTAATTAGAGCTATGTTCACCATGCCTGGCTCAAAAGGGTGTTTTCTTATCATAGCTTTGGAAGGCATTAAACTAGAGCACTATTTGCAAACTCTTAGCTCTTAAGAGATTCATTATATGTTATTGTTCATTTAGAAGAATTTACTTTTGAATATCTGATGGACAATAGGAAGATATTTTACATATTTTAAGAGATCACAGAGTTAAGTTGTCACAAAGCATTGATGATTAAACTTGGGAAGTGCACGTGCAGTCCTAGTGGCACGAAGCCCTTTATGCAGGAACTCATCTGAGTGAGAAATGACACTTTGTGGCACTGCTTCACAGAATTGCAGTCCAGGGTGACTTGCTCTTAAATAGTTTTGTTTTGTGACCAGTGACACCTCTCAGATATAAAGCCCTCAGCTGGTAACTGAAAAGTGAGTCTGATGACTCTATAACTACTCTATGCAGATAAAGTGAGGTAAGGATATGAGTTTTCCCATGAGAAACAGCAGCGCCTGCCACACACTCCACACTCACAGGTCTGCCACCATGGAGGCTGTTATACAAACCCAGTCACTGAGTCTCACAGCAACCCTGGGAGGAGGTTTTGTTGTTATTCCCATTTGTCAGGTGAGGGAAGAGAAGGACAGAAAAATGTATGCTCAGGACTACCCAGCTGGTCGGGAGAGGTGGGGCGGGGGTGGGTTTGGCATCAGTCTTTGTTCATTGTCCACTGCCCCACAGCGAAGAGACAGTGCCTTGCTGGGAAAGCTGAGATAAATGTGGGCTAGCAACAGTTGAGCTTCCTTGACTCTGCCTCCTAGGATCAAAAGAATTGTAGTGAAATATACATAGAATTGACCATGTGCACTATTTTAATTGTACATTTCAGTAGCATTAAGCACATTTACATTGTTGTGTAACTAACCATCATCCATCTCCAGAACTTTTCACCTTGCAAAATTGAAACTATACCCACCCAACACTAACTCTTCATCCCCAGCATTCCCCCAGCCTCTAGGAATCACCATTCTACTTTCTGTTTCTATAAAATAATGACTCTAGGTATCTCATAAGGCTAAATCATGCACTATTTCTTTTTGTAACTGGCTTATTTCACTTAGCAAATTATCTTTAGTGTTTACCCATGTTATAGCATGTGTCAGAATTTTCTTCCTTTTTAAGACTGATTGTCTATGCCACATTTGCTTATCTATCCATCCATCCATTGATGGACACTTGAGTTGCTTCCACCTCTTGGCTACTGTGAATAATGCTGCTCTCCTGAGGATTTTTTTTTTCCTAAGACACTATCTCTCTATATAACCCAGGCTGGCCACAAACTCGAATCCTCCTACCTCAGCCTCCTGAGTGCTAAATACAGGAATGCAATACCACACCTGGCTCTCTTGGGGACTTTTTTTTTTAATTTTTATTTTATTCATATGTGCATACAATGTTTGGATCATTTCTCCCCCCTTCCCCCACCCCCTCCCTTATCCCCCCGCCCCCTCCCTCTCCCCCCAACCCCCTCGCTACCCAGCAGAAACTATTCTGCCCTTATCTCTAATTTTGTTGAAGAGAGAGTATAAGCAATAATAGGAAGGAACAAGGGTTTTTGCTGGTTGAGATAAGGGTAGCTATACAGGGAGTTGACTCATATTGATTTCCTGTGCATGTGTGTTAACTTCTAAGTTAATTCTTCTTGAACTAACCTTTTCTCTAGTTCCTGGTCCCCCTCTCCTATTGGCCTCAGTTGCCCCAAAGTATCTGCTTTAGTTTCTCTGCGTTGAGGGCAACAAATGCTATCTAGTTTCTTAAGTATCTTACCTATCCTCATATCTCCCTTGTGTGCTCTCGCTTTATCATGTGATCAAAGTCCAATCCCCTTGTTGTGTTTGCCCTTGATCTAATGTCTGCATATGAGGGAGAACATACGATTTTTGGTCTTTTGGGCCAGGCTAACCTCACTCAGAATGATGTTCTCCAATTCCATCCATTTACCAGCAAATAATAACATTTCGTTCTTCTTCATGGCTGCATAAAATTCCATTGTGTATAGATACCACATTTTCTTGATCCATTCGTCAGTGATGGGGCATCTTGGCTGTTTCCATACCTTGGCTATTGTGAACAGTGCTGCAATAAACATGGGTGTGCAGGTGCCTCTGGAGTAACCTGTGTCACATTGTTTGGGTATGTCCTCTTGGGGAGTTTTTGAAAGCTAGGTTGAGTGGAAAAAAAATCTGTATCTGGCCCCAGGTGCTGAAGTTCAAGTTGATTAACACTTGGGTCCCCAAGTGTGAAAGCTCTTTATGGACACACCCCACCAGATAGAGGGGATCTATTGGGTGATTCCTCTGCCCAATACCTTAGCTTCTGGTGAGGAAGCCTTAACTTTCTATTTTGTATATTTTGGTATTATACTCTTTCCAGTTTATATCCCTGCAGAAGTGTAAATAGAGTTGCTAACATAAAATCTGGGTCTGTGATGTCCTTCTGCCAGCTAGGACTATTAAGTCCAGCCATTATTCTTAGGTTACATCTATGGAATAATCTTTTTCCCCCCTTTATTTTAGAATGCTTTGTTTTTTTTATTTTATTTATTTATTTATTTATTTTAGAATGCTTTGAATAGTAAAACTATTTCTTGTTTTGAAAAAAGATATTGTGACTCTAATTCTTTAGAGGGAAAGAGCACAAAATTATTTCTAGCTTACCTGTTTTGCTTAATTCCCCACAACTCTTGCTTCTTTAAAATTAGGTAATTTTGGGAGGAGTTAATTGTCGTTTTTAAGTTTGTTATTTGAGAGATAAAAATGTAAAAAGATATTACCAGTTTTTAAAAAGCAGATATAATTAATTATAATTAATTAATGTGTAATTTATGGGGGGCAGGGAGAGCACTTGCATTGTGCATGCCCCAAAGAACTCTCCAACGCTGCTCAAAGTTGTTTGATAATAGTTGAAACATTTTGTTTGGCTCTTCAGTTAACCTGGGACACACGAACATTTACTGGACCACATCTGATACCCTTCTGGGAAAATAAAACAGTAAAGTCGAAGCTTGTATAAGGGTCTCTGAACCACTGTCTGTCCTGTGGAGAGGCTGTGGCAGGTGGGACTCCTGCCTTCCCCTACAGCCTGTTCAGCATGTCTTAAATCTGAGGCTCTATGACTTACAGATGCTGGATCCCTCATCTAACTCCATCTTCGAGAGTTTCTTGCCTTTTCCCTTCATTTACTGTGTTCCTACCAAGGCCATCTTGCCTTCTGAATGTTACTACTTGTTATGTGTCAGGTACATTTGTTACACACTTGGTGTATGTTACCTTGCATCTTAGCACAACCTGAGGAGATAATGGTATTATTACTGTTTTCTCATTTGTAAAGAAATTGAGGCTAATCTAATGCAGAAGTAATGGGGGATCTGGCATTTTACCCTGAGCCATACTTTCTGCTGTAAAGCCCAGGAACCTGACCAGTCTGCTACTTGCTTCTCATTTTTCACAACCTGTCTATTTCTTTAGCTCTTTATTGAATCTGTTGTTGTTTCTGTTTATTCTATTCTTTAGATCAATTTATTTTTTCTCATTTTACCTTCTTATTGAACTAACCTTTGCTTTCTTTTCTTTAGTGTCAACTTTTAACAGTTACCTTATAAATTTGGAGGTTATTATTTCAATAAGCTTATCCTCCAGGAAACTGTTGACGGAGAACAACAAAAACACACAAAAAAATTAAAAACATGACATCTTTTCATCTATAGGAATAACCTTTTCCTCTAACTTGTAATATATTTAATGATTTTGTGGCATAAATTTTGAAATAGAATGGCATAGACCTTGATTTATGGTATTGTACATATCATCAATGTTCAATATCCATAATTAAAAATTTTAAAACTCTCTAGTAAAATACTTGAGGACATCTTTAAATTCAGATAAGACAACAGAGTTATACAAGATATATCTAAACATGAATCTGATTTATTTAACAGGGTACTTTTCTTTATCTGTAGTTATTACATTTAAATTTAAAAAAAAATCTGTGGGTGTACCATGTGGGAAAGAGAAAATTGGATAGTAGTTTCAAAAAGTGTGTAATTTGAGATTTATTTCCTACATCTTTTTTTTTAGCCTTTAAGATGTTGCAACTATATCTGAAAAGGGTTTCACTGGTTTCTGTTGTAAATACAGACTCTACATTAATATATAAAATAATACAGTATTATCTAGCAAAGCACATTCAAAGGGATGCTTTTTGTTTTGAAAGAAAACCAGGCTTATGTCCTTAAGCCTCATAAGTTTATTGCTCTAAATATAAGACTACACAAGAATATAATACAGTGTTTCCAGTTTGGGACCCATTTTACATATGTTTTATGTGTTTACGCATGTTCATGTGTAAAAAAAAATCCAGAACACTTTCTGGAGGGATACATGCTCAATTGTAAACTGACTGCATCCAAAGGAACGTTAAGAGGATTGGGTGTTAGAAACATGGAGCTTCTGACTCTTACTTTATGTACTTCTGTATTGTTTGAATTGTTTTTCAGTAAGCATAAGTAACTTTTGCAAAACAATCAATCAATAAAACATACTAGTTATAGTAACTTATACGTATATTCCAGTCCCACAGCCTCCTAGGCTAGAACCTCAGGAACCAAATTCTGCCACTGGTACAACAATTGCGGTTTATTGGAGCATGAGCACGGAAGATGTCGTTGACTCATTCCAGGTTTACTGCCTAGAGGAGCCAGAAGATGACCAAGAAGTAAATGGTAAGATTGCTAACACGAATACTGATGCAAGTGTATATTTCTGTATCTTAATGTAGCATATTTAAATACCAATTTCTACAAAGCATTTATGGCCACTTACAAAGCAACAACAACAACAAAAAACCCTTAACAACTGTATAATGAAATAATAGCAGAAAAGCAACATTTAAAAATTAGGATTGAGGAAAACAAAAATACATAACAGTCAACATGAATATTGCAATTGAGATTCACATTTGACTCTGAGCTCTTAGAATAGCAGGAATAATTAAGTGATTCTCATTTTGTAGGGTGTAACATAGCAGAGTTTCAGGGAGAACAAAGTTTTAATCAGTGCTGAAGTCTGAAAGACAGCATAACATTTTCCACTTTGTAGAGGAGAAATGAGCTGTGGTAAGAACAATGTCCTCCGCAAAGCTTTGGCGCACATGCAGCATTGGCTGTCACGGCTGGCACTTTCTCAGGTCTATCTCCTTTGACATAAGAGCTATAAACAAACCTGAAAGGTGAATTCGGTGCTCATTATCTTCAAGGCATGGGCCTAAACTTGGCGCAGTCTTCCACTGTCTCAAATTAAAGTGTGGAGAGAAGTGAGGGTGCTTGGTAAGAGAGGGGACGGCATGTCTTACAAGTTGAGCCTCTGTAAATACCCTCTGCTCAGCAGGGCTCCTAACAAAACCCAGGAGCCAGGCAGCTTGAGGTGTTGCTTCCTGATGAATCAGAGCTGGGACCGCTGGCATCCTGTGTTACTTGTTGAAGACAGAGTCACAGAGTTTGGAATCAGATGAGCATGTGGCAGGATTGGCATTCTATTACAAAATTCAGGAGCCTGATTCGTAATGCGGAATGCATTGTAACATATTTCACTGATATTAAGACTTAACTCTTTTGAAATATCGTGGTAATTTAGAACAAAAATTTAAAAAGCAGCTGCAGTGATAAAGTTTGGCAAATCTGTCCATAAGGACTGATTATTTTAGAGTACCTGTTACCATATCTCTGTGACTACATATTGAAAGAAGTTTTATATCCCATTTGCAAATAAGAAAACTGATGTGAGGTTAAGTAATCTGGTCAAGGCCACATAACTTTTACATGACAGGGACAGGGTTTAGACATTGATCTTCCAGCCTCATTATTTTTGCTCACCTCTGTACTTATTTTGTGTTGCTACATTTTCCCTGCTTCTATAACCTCCTGTATCATGGACCCTCTTAACTAATAGTTATTGCTTGGAGCACTTTTTGTATGCACCCATGTCTACCCCCCATTCCTAGCCCCCAAACACTTCTCTGTCAGATGTCTCATTGGTTCCAGGCCTTGAACTATGGCCGATGACAGCTAACTCTGTGATGATTTACCCCTGAATACTGTTTTACATGTACTAAGGTCTCCAGTAACATGTAACATGTGAATGGTTACATGTTACATGTGCATGGTTACCAGGATTGCCTAATGTATTGATTCCAGTGAAAACTGCAGTTCTAGTTTCTGGGCTGAGGGGAAATGCTTTTTAATGTATTAGTGACATTCTTTTAATGCAACCATCTGTCGTGGACTATAGCTCATTGGAAAAGAGAGGCAATTGAAAAGTTCTACTAAGTTGGAATCCTAAGTTTCTTTTAAGGAAACAATCTGGGTTCTTAACTAGAGGAATTTTGAAGTGGTGGCATTCAGAAGTAAAATAATAATAATAATAATAAATCATGGGCTAATTCACAAAAGAGAATCATTCTTTCTTAATGAGAGAAAATTTCAAGAAGAAATCAGAGTTGTCCAAAGGGCCAGGTGTTCAGAATAGTATTGAGTAATATTTACTTCCAAAATATTGAAAGTAAAATAATTTAAGAAATTTTAAAAGGAAAATGTCTTGATTGAACAGTTACTTCTTTTTTATCTTAATACTAAGTACTACTTTCTTTTGGAATTTTTTTTATTATGGTTGTGCTTGGGGGGTAAATTGGTAGCATTTTACAAAGGTTCTTACAAATGTATCAAATATATCAATACCTGAATTCACCCTCTCCACTGCCTTGAACAGTTACTACTTAGAATAGTTATAACCTATTAATTCAAGTATTTCTATAAATTATGGAAGAATTATTGAATCATGGAAGAATGCTGGTTCTTTGAAACTTGGAAGGTCATACTGAACACCAACATTGCTAATCTGAAAGATGCTTTGTAGTATCTTAAGTTTAGAAAATACATTGTTGTTCTTTTGTACTCCTATGAAAGGCTGGCATTGGTTC